GGAGGTTTGCATGGGGTTTAAATCAGGATAGTTAGATGAATGTTATAATGCAGGGTTCTTATTTATAGTTGTACAGATTTAGTTCATTTATCAGGCACTATTAAGTTGGCGGACCAAGATGTTTCCTCTCCCAAACAGGAGATTCACCTTGCCAATTAATATCATTCTGACAGGAACTTCTGCTTTGAAGCCTCGACCAATTCTGAAGATAAGCAGTAGGCAGGACTGAACACAAGAACGGAACAGAAGAAATAATACATTTAATACATCTTTAAATCTTAAATTTAAAGATGGCTTCCTTTTTTATTACAGTTTACGTACTGTGAAATTTTTAATTGTAAGGTGATTTTTTAGGCTCCCCATTAATACCAGAATGATTTACATTTATAGTGTCTTAATGACTCAGCCGTGGCTCTGTTAGAGATGTTGTCTTTCAGATGAGATGTTAAGCCAACCTACCATCTGCTTTCTCAGGCCATTGTAAGATTCTATGGAACTATTTTGAAGAAGAGCTGAGGAGCTCTCCTTGGTATCCTGACCAATATTAAACCATCAAACAACATCATTAAAACAGATTTTTCCATCATTACACATTGCTGCTTGTCGGAACTTGCTGTTCGCATGTTAGCTGCTGCATTTCCTAAAGGTCAACACTGATGTTATAGAGCAGACCAAATCCCCTCGAAATAATTAAGAAAATAGCCTAGACCCTAACTTTTTCTTATTTTGAAGGTAATTGTAAGGCATTGCATTCCAGGTGCAATTTGATTGGTCAAACTACTTGATTTTAAGCAAAACACACCCCTGTCTCAACCTTTCTTCATAAGGGAAAAACAGGACAAGATACGCCTCTTAAAACCATAGTATTGTCACATCTCCCCCTTTAAAAAATGAATGATCAATATACAAAGATGGCTTCATTTTAAAAAACCTTTAGCCTTACAATATTAATACAATACAATACATATACATTACATTGACTCTAAGCATGCAAAAGTTCATTATTACAGTCCATTTCAGCCCATTTTTTTCCTGTCACCAAACGCTTCTGTCTTCCTTGAACAAAGTCACAATAATGTGTTGGTAATTACGTTCTCTCGTCCTACCATGTGTATAATTTTCAAATTGAACGGCTGCAATAATAAGCTCCATCTAAACATTTTTATCCTTAATTTTTTCCAAACAAGGTTATGATCCGTACGGGCAATGTAAATGATGAAATGTTGCAACGCTACCATTAATCTCAAGGTCTCCTTGTCAATTGTGGAATATTTCTGTTGATGATTATTAAATTTTCTGGAAAAATACCCAATAGGTCTTTCTATCTTCCTGTCATCTTCTTGTAAGGGTACAACACCGACACCCACATCACTCGCTTTGATAGCCACCTTGAATGGCTTTGCGCAATTAGGTGTGGCTTACACTGGGGCAGTGGTTAATACAGCTTTCAGGTTGTCAAATGCCTTCTGACATTCCTCTGTGCACTGAAATTTTATGCACTTCTTCAATGAGTCGGTCAATGGAGCAAGCACACTGCTAAAATTCGGTACAAACATCCGATAAAAACTATTCAGTCCCAGCAATCATTATACTTCTCACTTCGTCGATGGTATGGGAAACTCCTCAATAACCTTTGTTTTCACGTCCTGTGGGGCCATTTGTCCGTGTCCAATGACATGGCCCAGAACGTGACTTGGACGTTTGCGAACTCAATCTTACCCAGGTTTATTTCCAAGACCACCTCCCGAAATCGATCGAACAATTCCAATCGATGCTCCAAATGTTCCTTCCATGTGTGACTAAAAATCACTAGACTCTCGATATATGCCAGCCTTACCCTTTTGGGTAATCCCAAAATGACTTTATTGGTTAGTCTTTGAAATGTGGCTGGCACATTTTTCATGCCAAATGACATGACTTTAAACTGGTATAGTCCATTCAGTGTCATGAAAACCAAAATTTCCTTCGCTCTTTCAAATAAAGGTATCTACCAGTATCCTCTGAGTAAGTCCAACTTAGAAATATAAATTGCTTGTCCCACCTTCTCAATACAGTCTTCCAAATGTGGAATAGGATATGAAGCAGACTTTGTAACTGCATTGACTTTGTGATAGTCCACACATAATCGTTGGGTACCATTTGGTTTTGGCACCATTATTATGGGTGAACCCCATTCACTGCAACTCACTTTGATGATATTGTCTTTAAGCATGCTTTCAATCTCTTTTTGAACCTGTGCCAACTTTAGAGGGTTAAGTCTACAAGCATGTTGTTTAATTGAAACAGCATTTCCTGTAGCTACATCATGCAGGTTAGTACTTCCCAGCTTATTCCCACATATCTCCCCATGTGATTGTAAAAACACTTTCAGGTCATTTCAATTTTCCTCTGGAAATAATTTCAATAATTTATCCCAATTTTTGAGAACTTCCTCATTGTCCAATTTAGTTAGAGGAATGTCCAATTCAGAATCATCTGAACTTGGTTCTTCACTCTGTGTTGTAACCAGTAACACATCCTCCTTTTGTTTTCCTTCCCTGTCAAAATACCTTTTGAGCATATTCACATGACACACTTTGAGATTTCTTTCTAGATGGTGTTCTTATCAAATAATTCAACTCACTTAATTTCCTTTCGAATTGATAAGGCCTACAAAAGGCCCTTGCCTTTTAAGGTTCACCTGCCACTGGGAGTAACACTAACATTTTATCTCCACTAGGAAAATTATGAATTTTTGATTTCTTGTCCACTTCCTGTTTCATCACATGCTGTGCTACTTTCAATGAAACATCTGCGGAAATACGCTGAGAAGAAGAATAGCACCTGTTCCAAGTATTCAAAGACAATGGATACCCAAAAAACTGAGTCAGAAGATGCTTATCACACAAACGACACCAGGAAGATACTACATGCCCCGACACACTCATCACGCTACTTTACATCAGGAATACATCGGAACTAACCACAAGAATCCTACGACCACTGGGCATCGGAGTAGCACACAAACCCACATCAACCCTACGCCAACTGCTCACCCGAACCAAGGACCCACTACCCATTATGGACAGGACCAACGTCATATACAAGATTCCCTGCAAAGACTGCAACAAACATTACATTGGACAAACAGGAAGGAAATTAACAACAATGGTGAACAAACATCAACTGGCAACAAAAAGACACGACCAATACTCACTCATCTCCATCCACATGGATAAGGAGAACCACCAATTCAATTGGGACAACACCAAAGATCCTGGGACAAGCAAAGGAGAGACAAGCACAGGAGTTCCTAGAGGCCTTGTACTCCACAAAGGAAGCCATCAACAAACACATAGAGCTCGACCCCACATACGCTCCACTGTGAAGGAAAACCGAAAATGACATAATGCAGCTCAACGGATTCCAGAATTTAAAAACCAAGCGGGAAAACACAACGGCACTTCATCGGAGGCCGCACTGATGATGTTACCCAGCAGGGTAATGAAATGTCTGCGGGACAATGAACCAGCTTGGCAAGCCAACCAACCATTGCTTCTCTTCACCCCTCATGGGTTTCCTTTCTAACCTACGGTAAACAATCTTTACCATCTTCAATGAGATCTCCTTTTTCATTACCACCTGAGGATTTCTCTTTTCCCCAATGAACCAACTCATAATCATCTGCCATTTCCACTGCTAATCTTGCAGTCTTAACTCTCTGCTCTTCTATATGAGTTCTCACTACTTCAGGAAGTGAATTTTTAAACTCCTCCAAACTAATCATCTCTCTAAGAGAGATGTTTGATCTGTTTTCAATGCCCTTATCCACATATCAAAACTACTTTTTTGACCCTTCCAAACTCTTATGTACATTTGACCAGGTTCCCTCCTTAGATTCCTAAACCATTGTCTGTAGCCTTCTGACACTAGTTCATATGCACTTAAGATGGCTTTTTTCACCTCCTCATACTCCCCAGATACCTCTTCTGATAGAGATGCAAATACCTCACTAGCTCTACCTACTAACTTTGTTTGAATCAACAATACCTACATGGTCATCGACCATTTCATTTATTTAGCTACTTTCTCAAATGAAATGAAAAAGGCTTCTACATCCTTGTCGTTGGACTTTGGCAACACTTAGACATATTTAAACAAATCCCCATCAGGCCTTTGGTTATGATAGAATTGCTGTCCATCGTTGTCTTCATCGTTACTCCTATCTCTCACCTCTACCTTTGCCATTTTAAGTCAACTTTGAGTTTTCGGTTCCGACCTGTGAAGGTCAAAAACTCTCACGCCCTTTCTTCTGCTCAGGTCTTCCTTTCCTTTTCTTTTTGTTCTGCCAGGGCTATTCTTTCCTTTTCTTTTTGCTCTGCTGGAGCTATTCTCTCTTTCAGCTTTTCTTCTGCTTTCAATCGTAATTCAAACTGTTTCATTTCCTTTCCATGTACAAGCTGCTTCGTTCACAATTGAATTTTAGCCATTTCTAATGATTCCGATGGCATTTTCGGCAATCGTAAATATCGAGCTATTTCTGAAATTACCTCCCCTTTTCACAAGACAAAGGCAACCCCAACTCCAGCTTGTCTGCCAATTCCAAAAGCTTTGCCTTGCTCACTTTCTGTAAAACTCCCAAAGTGATTTCTTCCACCCCCAAGAAACTCTTAGTGCCTGAACAAGTCATTATTACACAAGGCACACCCTATTTCAACCAACCAAATGCAACACCCAAAATAAAAAACACCAACACACTATTCACTACTTTTGATTTCCAACAGTCCTAAACCCAATCTGGAATTAGAGATTTTGATCCTGACAAGAGACTCCCAATTTGTTATGGACCAGATCAAACTCCCTCAAAATATATTAAGGA